TGACATTCAGGATCCTGACGACATGAACTATTGGCAAGTCACACGTCAGCTGTCAGGTACAAGCTGGCGCGTCACTCGCATCCGCCGGACGTCTAGGCAAAATGACACAGGTGATAAATATGTCAGCATGGTGCATGGCGCGGATGGAGTTCCCAAGCCAACCCCGCCCAATGCAATCCAACAGGGCACCTGTGGTGTAACCGACCGAGCCTTCATCACCCACTGTCATGAGGAAGCATTCTAGAATAGAGGATCTGGTAATGTCTGTGCAGGGGTGGCCCGTCATGCTTGGCCAGGCAGCAACGCCCAAGGCAACGCAGCCGGACGCTGGGTCCAAAAGCTTCGAGGACAAGCCAGCATGTCGGATGTGTCCTCATACATCGGTCTCCGGTGGCGGACTGTACTTGTCCCACGGGTCAGCTGCGATCTGGGCACGAAGTTGCCTGCCAAGAGGGCAAAGGTGGCGCGCACAAAGGGGCTGAGCCACACGGGGAAACCCCATCAAAGCATATTAGGTGTCCTGCCGAACAAGTCACCGAGGCTGGGCTTTGCGTCGTTCGTCCTGCACACCTTACGCGTCCCAAACAGACGCGTGGGAAGGTGGAGGTGCGTAACAGGTGCAGCCTCGACCTGACGATGAAGGACAAAGGCCTGGGGCGGGTGCTGCCTAAAGCCGACGCTTCATGTGGAGGGTGAAAATGGTCACAGGTCAGTCGGGTCGTTGTGGGCTCGTCTTGCGTTGAGTCATCTTTCCAGCCCGCTTGCTGTGGGAAGACGTTCATTGGCCCGGTGTCAATAGATCTTCCCCTCGAGGCTAGCAAGGTCGCCAGCACAGCGCTGGAACGACTCGGACAATCCACGGGGCACGCACTCAGTGCCGAGGTCGGTATTCCCAAGCTTTCTTCCAGCGAGAATTGCATCATGTCCGCGAGCGGCATGAAACCGGACCTCTGCCGCCGTGGCGCAAGATCCGAGGCGTCGTGAAGAGACGGTGATAGGAATGCCTGCATCATCTTGAATCACTATTGTCGTTGAACAGGACGGCGGCCAATCAGACGCTGACGCGGAGCGGAGCGGGGCTGGTTCGGCGAGCGTGACATGGCGACAGTTCCGAGCTGCAAAGTTCCTGCAGCTTCCTTGCTGTGAGGCCTTCACATCCGCTCTCGCTTGGGTTGGGCGCTGGCGGGTCTCAGTCAAGCGGTGGAGTCATACTGCCAGCGATGGCGGGCAGCTCGACACGCATCGTTTCAATGAGAAGGGCAGGAGGCCTGATATCGCGCTGGGGGCGTTGCTCCGTGAGCCGGAAGCAGTTCGAGGGTTTCGCAAGTGCCTGGGCGATGGCACAAAGCGCCCGGCGAATGAGTCAAAAATGGCATTTTGCCCAAGTGATGACCAATGGGAAAAGACTCCGGCTCTCCGTGTGGCTGACGATGCGCTTTCAGTGGGTGAAGCGGGATACCGCCAGTGCGGAGTAGGCTTGAGGG